ATCCATATGTCCCAAAGAACATAGGTAAACAGTCCATATGTCCCAAAGAATATAAGTAAACAGTCCATATGTCCCGAAGAACATAGGTAAACAGTCCATATGTCCCGAAGAACATAGGTAAACCCTCGACCCTTGGCATGCCAACTATACCCCTAGCTCTCATATCACATAACATGGGCATTATCATTTATAACAGTTCACATTACTTATTCATATTCTTTCTCTTATAAACACATATCTTTTCTTTTCAGTCACGTATCACATGTACGTGTAATCATTGATCTCATAATCACATGTTCCTTCTTTTCTATCACATACCACATGTATGTGTAAACATATATCTAATATCATATGTTGCATGTAATCACATAGATCGTATCATATAACTTCTTTCACATATACATGAAATCACTTAGTCTATTTTCATGTAATTCTGTTCACTTCTCATATGATTTTATATTCATATCTCACATAGCTCACTATCATATTTTCATATCATATATCTTATAATAGATTTTATATCATCATTTGTTTCCTTTCTACCTATTCATAATCACATAACATATACAAAGCATATCATTATCTTTAGTCATACATACATACAATCAATGTAATACAGATAATCACATGTTCCTTCTTTTCTATCACATACCACATGTATGTGTAAACATATATCTAATATCATATATTGCATTTTCATGTAAGCATGTAAATCCTGTAACATATAAACATACATCCATTTCTATGTACTAATGCACACAGAGTAATCACATATATACCATAACATGTCAACACATATAAATCATACACATATATACTTCTATTTATGAATTCATGCATTTTACTATGGAAATAGACTTGTCGCAAGTCTTATTTCCATTTAACATCATATAATACTAATATGCACTCACCTGGCCTCATTAGTCCATTCCAATCTCTTATCTTCCTTTTTTATCGATCTTACTTGTCAATGATTCCGGAACTCGTTTAGGCTCTGAATCTACATAATTATACATTTTAAGACAATTATTAGATACTTACACCTTGTAATTTGATACTGGCAACTTAAACGAACTTATTAAACCAATATGCACATTTTTCCTTTAGGGGGAATCGGTTCCCTACTATGGGGGTATCGATTTCCTAATGACATTCTGGAAATGTTGTTCGTTTGAAGGGGTATCGGTTCCCCTTGAATGGGTACCGATTCCCTTTGCCCAGAAATCATATTTTCAACCCGAAAATTACTTCATTTCCACTCAAACACTTCATATATTATCCCCTTTTCATTCTTAACTCTAGTACACATACTTAAACCAATCTATATTCATTTATTTCATCTTAAACCTCAAAATCCTATCTTCCATATGAGATTCAAAAATCATACCAAATTTTCAATGTGTTCTAATTCCAATTCTAACACTTCATACTTCTTAATTAGATTGATGACAAGTCAAATTCATCCATAAAACTTCAACAACCATACCATATCAAAATTTCATCTTAAAACTCATATTGCAAATTCCTTCATAATTCCTTTATCTTATTGTTTAAATCCCATATAAGCTTTCCTTAAGCTTATTTAATACCCAAAGAATCAAAACTAAGCTTAAAACTTAAGAATTAACCAACTGAAATTAAACTTACCTTTGCCTTGCTCTCCCACGTAAGAATAAGAAGAAAGGAGCAGAGAACTCTGGATGCTTCTCAAATTTCCCACGTTTATATTACCTAAAAAAAATTATAAAAATCTTTCTGGTCAAATGACCATAATACCCTTAATTTCCTTTAATAATTACTAAATAACCTTCAATATATATTCAAATAATCATTGAATTCTTTCATTCTTCTACTTTAGTCACCAAATTCTGAAACTTTACAATTTGGTCACTAACCCGGTATTGCGGATGTTACATGTATCCCGAAAGTGAAACAAAAAAATTGATTCGTCACCTAAAATTTGGGAACGAGATAAAAAGAAATGTTCGTTTATTTAAATATATCGAGAAAAAGTTGTTATATCTTTAAGATCTGGTCTCGATATTTGTAAATAATCGAACATTCTTTATCTTTCTAAAATGACTTGGTAATTTTAATTTAATTTGTTTGAGTGTTTTTGAATGTTTTAAATTTACATTTTTATTTTATGGGATCAAAAATCAAAATAAATTCGAATTTGTAAAGTTCATTGCAAAGACGTTAATTAATCGACTAAGTACCGATTTAGGGCGTTGTGGGGGTGCTAATCCTTCCCCACACGTAACCGACTCCCGAACTCGAATTTTGGTAACGCAGACCTCAATTTGTTATTTTAATTAAAATTAATTTTTATTTAAAATGACAAAGCATTTTTGGGTGCCCAATCACACCCTAATCAAAGATCGGTGGCGACTCTTCAAACCGTATTTTTCGATCGTAAAGGAAATTCAAATTTTTTCGAAATGAGAGGTCTTTTAAATCGCATATGTTTTTAAAATAAAAAGAGACAATTAAGAATTAATGTGGTTTTCAAAATCTCATTTTTTTTCTCACCTTTAAGAAAAAATCGTTTCGACAATATGATTTTAATAATTTATTGAAATGAATAATCAATCAATAAAATGAAAATTTCATATTTTTTAATTTTTTATAATATATTCCTAATGTAAGTTATAAAACAAACTAAAATTAAGCAAAAAAAAAAAACAATAAGAACAATTCTGTCATTTTACATTACTGAAATCAAATTAATCTGACATGTCTGCGAACCAAACAGAATATTAAATTGGATTCCAATTCAATTTCCTACCAACCAAACAAGTTTCAGATTTAGATTCTAATTCCTTCACAAGTTCCAATTCCCTAAGAAACATTTCAACGAACCAAACGCCACCTAAAAATTTAGAGGTAATGACATTCCCACCATTTTAACCAAAAAATTATACTATTGGAAAAAGAATATTCCCGATAATGTAAGATTTCATAAACCAAACGTGGTAATACAATTCCGGAAAAAATATTCTTCTTGGTAATATAAGATTCCAAGAACCAAACGCATCCTAAGACATATCTATAATATTTACTATAACAACACTATATTTATCAATATAATTAGACCAAAAAATATTTTTCAAAGTAACTTTATCTAAAAAATTCCAAAGGACGAGATAAGTCAAAATTTTTAATTTATATATTAGGTTAATAATTTATTTTTGAGTAACTTCATATGACATTTATTTATTTCTGAATTAATCCATGATATCTGATCTATTGACCGATTAATCTTGTTCGGGTACTACAGAGGCGGGAACGACCCTCCCAACCCAGTTTGCTCCATTCGCAAACGTCAAGAGTTGAGCCTATGACCTTGCTTAATGGACATAGTGCATCATCCCACTAGACTAACTGATTATTGATACAAATGGTCCCAACTATAAGATATTACTTTATTGATAAAGGGATAAGTTCAAAGTGTCATATTCAAAATAACAATATAAAATATTAAAAACAATCATGAAGTATACAAATGGCCCCGATTATAGGATATTACTTTATTGAGTCCCTCAATTATTAAAAATTATAAAATAGTCTCCCGATTATAGATAGCCACTTTGTTGAATCTATCGACTATTAAAAGTTATAGTCACCCAATTATTCATTATGTTTCAAATTTGTTATTTTCTATTAAAAAATTAACAATCTGGATTAGACGTTAACCTACTGACCAAGATATGATAAAAAAAGATCTCATAATCCCAAACGACTATCACGTCTCAGTCAATATGTTAACATCCAACTTAGACTACCGTTATTTTTTTAATAGAAAATGACGAATTTAAAACATAATGAATAATTGGATGATTATTTTAAAATTTTAATAATTGAAAACTCCCTACAAAATAGTATCCTAAAACCGAGATCATTTGTGTACTTTGTACTAAAAACAAACACTAATTATTTATTTGATGGATTAAAAAGAAAATTAAAACAATAAAATAATGAATTTTTTTCACTAGTGTAGCGTAGGAATGACGAAAATTTTAAAAGAATATGTATTTTTTTTCATTCATTGTTTAGCAGAGTTAAAAATTGAGATGAAAGAAAATTAAACTCTAATAAAATATATTTTAAAGTAATTCATATCTTCTTTCATCTTCCCTATCAAATTAGAATGTATTGTTTTTATTTGATTTAAATGAGCAAAAAAAAAAAAACATGAACAACAAAAGTTTTAAATAATTTTTTAAAAATATATGGACTAACCGTGACAAAGTAGATGTTCTTTGATATTGGATCAAGCCATGGATTTACGAACAAGCAAGTGAAGGAAAACAGAAAAATAACATGTAGTGGTGAGATTATTTTAAGAAAACTACTAATAAATACTGATAATATGAAATATGATATCAACCATGAATATGACGATAATGTGTTTGATAGCTTCAAATTATATAAAATTATGACTAAATCCACTGAAAATGTAAATATGAATCATTAAAATTATTATTATATTAATTAAAAATGAGATGCGTCATTGTTTCTATTAGTAATCAAAATTGATTTAGTTATTAGTAATTTGATTGATATTAAAATGTTTCATTAATGACTAAATTGATAATTTTTATTTATGAATAATAATAGGTAATTGATCTTAAAATTGTTTAAAAATTGAATTTTAATTTAATTGGTATTATTTGTTGGCCGACCGTAGGTTGAAATAGGTTTAAGCCTTTCCAATTTAAGAAGACTCGTTTATATTCAGAATTGAAGCTCTAGTTTTGCCATCCCAATTTTAACTGTCTAAAATTGTAATTCGTGAAAATTTTCTTCTATTTTTATTGCGGTAAAGATTTGTGCACTGCTCCTTCGCTCGTTGCTTCTATTTTCTTTGTACTTTCCTATCAATCGATTGACGAGGTATATTTTTATAAATCTGAATGCAGTTTCGTTATCGAAGGGTATAAGTTGCCCACCTTCTGTTTGTGTTTTTACCTACGTCATTTTGCAACTATATCTTAGTGGAATGCTTTTTCTTTCGTTTCTGTTACGGAAATCTCCAGATTTGGGGATAATCTGACCTAATTTATGTTAATTGAAGTTTGATGCTAGAAGTGCGAAGTGCTCCTTTTTCCTTCTTGCTAGTCTGCCTTACATGCAAACATATAAATTAAAAAGGCATTGGGAACTAGTTTCTAGTGTCTCCATCTAAAGACCCTGTTTCTAGTGATATAGACCCCAAACGAGCACCACCTGTTGAAGGGGGACGGGGAAAGCTAAAGGCCCTTGCCAAGTTTATTTATTTTTATTATTTATTTCTGGAGCAAAAAATGGATTCAGAGGTAATAGCAGAGGAGCTGCAAAACATTGAGATTGAGATTCATGATGTTGAAGGTGATGATTAATCAATTAGCGTGAAAGCAATTATTCATGTCTTTGTTTGTGGCATTATGGATGAGCGTGTTGCTTAATTGAGTAATTTCAATATTGCCCCAGACGAAATCCGGGAGTTATTGGCGAGGCAAGAGAAATTGTACGAGAGGCGATCGGAACTGCAAGATTTGCTGGGAACATGCCCTATAAATGTCAAGGATGTCTCGGCAACGACCACCATGCAAGAAGATTGGTCAGGGCCATTTGAATGGGATTCTCAAGCCGATGATATTAGGTTAAATGTTTTCGGCATATCTTCATATCGCCCAAATCAGCGAGAGGTAGGTTGCTTAATTCCATTATGTTTGGTAACCTTTTTTTGTTCTTTTCTTCTGGGATATGATGTCGTTTTCCTGAAAGTAAAGATGGGATTGTACTTAATGTAATGGTTTTGCAGATCATAAATGCAGTGATGAGTGGAAGAGATGTTCTGGTGATAATGGCTGCAGGTGGTGGCAAGAGCTTTTGCTACCAGCTTCCTGCTATCCTTCGTCCAGGAATTGCTATTGTAGTCAGTCCTTTGCTCTCTTTAATACAAGATCAGGTATTTTCTTTTTTCCTTCTTTAATTAGTTTTGAATATCAGATACCGCTTATTTGTTTTTTCCTCCCTTCAAATGCTTGCTAAGTATTAACAACAATTCAGGTAATGGGTTTGGTTGCCTCTGGCATTCCAGCAAATATGCTCACATCGACCACAAGTAAGGAAGATGAGAAGTCCATATACAAGGCCCTGGAGAAAGGTGAAGAAGACTTAAAATTATTATATGTCACACCTGAAAAAGTATCCAAAAGCAAGAGATTTATGTCCAAACTTGAAAAATGCCATCATGCTGGTCGTCTCTCTCTAATTTCCATTGATGTCAGTCTTACTTTTCTCTATTTCTTCTTTTGTCTCCGTTTTGATGTATATATCTTTGTTCTTTTATTCGTTTGCTTATTTTGATTTCTTATTCTTTCTTAACATTTCTTATATTTTAAGCATGCATGATTCCTTTTTACTGATATTGTTATGAATTTAAATATAACTATTGGATTATTAGAGCTGTGAGGGCTATATAATATACTGAAATTGGCACTTAACTAGTTTCTTCTGGATTTGAACCTATCTTTATGAGAATAGGAAGTAGCTGAGGTTATGAACCAATATGAACATTGTACTATACTTTTGTTAGTTTGTATATTTAATTCTATTAGACAGTCTAGGTTCGATACATATAAATTGTACAAGTTCTTTCAAAACTTGTAGGACTGTTGGTTGTACATTGTAAGCATAATTTGATAGAAAGTGGCATGCATCAAACAACTTTAATTTTACTAAACCTCAGGCTAAACTATTTATAATAACATGTATTTTTGTATGTATGTATGTATCATTGTTATTATTATTTTGTTTTGGTGACTTCGATCATTAAATTTATATTTTGCATCACCTTATGTACTTTTATGTTGGTTATTTCACAGGAGGCTCATTGCTGTAGTCAATGGGGTCATGATTTTCGCCCTGATTACAAAAATCTTGGTATACTCAAAACTCAGTTTCCAAATGTACCTGTTGTAGCTTTAACCGTATGTGGTTCTTTGTCCCTTAACATTTGCATGCTTTTTATATTTGCTGTTTTCTTAGCTGCAATTTTTCGGCTAAATATATGATCTTACTTTTTAAATATATTTTACAGGCAACTGCTACAATGAAAGTCCAGAATGATCTGATTGGGATGCTGCATATTCCAAAATGCGTAAAGTTTGTCAGCACCGTCAACCGGCCAAATCTATTTTATATGGTAACTTGTACAATTATTAGTAATTTCCATTTCATTGTTAAGAGTTCCTATCTGAACTTTGTTATTAGATAAAAGATTTTTCTTAAATTGCAGGTCCGAGAGAAGTCATCTGTTGGAAAGATGGTTATTGATGAAATAGCTAAATATATAAAAGAATCCTATCCAAATAAGGAATCTGGCATAGTTTATTGCTTTTCCAGAAAAGAATGTGAGCAGGTATGAGTTTTTTTCACACTTGAGTTGCCTCACACAACCTCAAACACATAAAATAACATTTCATTTCTTTTACTGTTTGCCATTATTTTCCTCATTCTAGGGGCATCCTAGTTGTAGGTTGTTCGCCGGCAAGAAAGTTGTGCTTAGTTCAGTTCCAAGTTAACATTATAGAGAGATGTATAGAAACACTAACCTTTATGTGGTTATAAATGCTCTTGGCATCATGCCATCATATACTACTCAACTTATTTCCTTCTATGCTACAATCTCCACAATCATTTAGTACCTGTTAGTATGTTATTTGCCTTGTCATTCTGCATCCTCAAACATCTTAAATGTCCATTCTAATTCTTGTTTTTATAACCACTGTACTATGTTCAAATGCTCTAGCTGTATCATGAATTAAAACAATAAATATCTGTTGGTTGTCATGTTATTAAGTCTAACTTATAAGATATCAGTATCTAGTTTCTAGATTTACAATGAGTGCATAGGCATGTACTATATATTCATTTCACTCTGTCAAGAACTGTAGGTTGCAAGTGAGTTACGTGAGAGGGGAATATCAGCTGATTATTACCATGCTGACATGGATGTAACTGCTCGTGAGAAAGTTCACATGCGGTGAGCTCAACTGTTCTAACTTCTAATTCTTGCTCAGAGTAAACAGTTTCTTGCTAGATTTGCACCTCATACACGGAAGTGATTAATCACTCCAGTATAAATTATAAAATATGTATATATTATATTAAAGGACGTGCCACATTTGTGACAACTATACTGGTTTATATTTGATGCACAGGGTGAGTAAGTGTTATACACTATCAATGATCATAAGATGACACATTGTTTCTAAAACTAAAGTGCTCAAGCCCTTAAAATTAATTTTTAATAACTTTATTTAGTTATTATTAAATTTTAATTAAATTTGTTATTTCAGTCATCAAATGTGTAGCTCCTGAAACAGCCAAGTATTCTTCACCTTTTACCATAGAGGGAGATGAACATCCCTCGTACTCCTTAAAATTAAATTTTAATAACTGTATCTAGGTTTAATTAAATTTTAATTAAAATTATTATTTCAGTCATCAAATCCGTAGCTCCTGAAACGGAAGAGTATTCTTCACCTTTTGCCACAGAGGAAGATGAACATTCATCATTCTCTCCCTCCAGTTATATTGCAGAAAATATCAATAACATAAACCAAGCATGCTCCAAACTGATTGAATTTAGGTACTTATATTTAAACCTAAAATACCGGTTATACCTTAAAGCTTGTTCTATAGAAGTAAAATTCTAATGGATGTAAAATAAGCTAAAGAATCTTAATTAGCCTAAACAATGTAAAGATAGTAATCAAACCCGTAAAACATAAAATAAAATTGTTAATAACTTTATACACTATCAATGATCATAAGATGACACATTGTTTCTAAAACTAAAGTGCTCAAAGCCCTTGAAATTAATTTTTATAACTTTATTTAGTTATTATTAAATTTTAATTAAAATTGTTATCTCAGTCATCAAATGTGTAGCTCCTGAAACAGGCAGGTATTCTTCACCTTTTACCATAGAGGGAGATGAACATCCCTCATACTCCTTGAAATTAAATTTTAATAACTTTATCTAGGTTTAATTAAATTTTAATTAAAATTATTATTTCAGTCATCAAATCTGTAGCTCCTGAAACGGAAGAGTATTCTTCACCTTTTGCCATAGAGGAAGATGAACATCCATCATTCTCTCCCTCCAGTTATAATGCAGAAAATATCAATAACATAAACCTAGCATGCTCCAAACTGATTGAATTTAGGTACTTATATTTAAACCTAAAATAACGGTTTTACCTTAATGCTTGCTCTGTAGAAGTAAAATTCTATGGATGTAAAATAAGCTAAAGACTCTTAATTATCCTAAACAATGTAAAGATTATAATCAAACCCATAAAATATAAAATAAAATCCTAGATAAGTTAAATTTTTGAACCCACATATTTTCATTTTTATCAGCCTCTTACATGTGTTTCATGATGTAGATGGAGCAAAAACAAATTGCAGGTCATTGTTGGTACAGTAAGTGTATCATCCACATTTTTCCAGATATCTTTTTGATTCTCAGTTTTCAGTTATTATATCTTCACTTCTATGCTAGGTTGCATTTGGAATGGGAATCAACAAACCTGATGGTAAGTATGATTAATGGTACTTACTGGAGAAAGAAAGGTGTATTAGGCATCCTGATGTGCATTGATATGGTCACGTAACTTGCAGAAGTTAGCTTTTTCAGTTTTTACGTGTATTTCTTAATTGAATATGGCAATTACCATTACAGTTTTCTGAAGGGTTAAAACAACATTTGGTCCCTGAATTTTGACAACTCTTCCCAACTTGGTCATTGAACTTTCTTTTTGGTCCACATTAGTCTCGAAACTTGGCAACTTTTCCCAATTTGGTCCTTAAACTTGGATTCCCCTTTAATCCTTAACAGTATCCAAGTTTAGTGACCAAGTTGGGAGAAGTTGTAAATTTTTGGCACTAATGTGGACCAAAAAGAAGTTCATTGATCAATTTGGGAAAAGCTTCCAAGTTCAAGGACTAATGTGGGCCAAAAGAGTTCAGGGGCCACGTTAGGAAAAGTTGCCAAGTTTAGGGACTCAATGTTGTTTTATCCTTTTTCTGGAAATCCCTCTTACTGAAACATCCTTAGCAATATATCTTGGCAGTCTCCATATTTTATAGACAAAGCTGATAACCATATATTTTGAAAGATAAAACTAGTAGGAACTTAGAAAAGCATTTGTTGTCATTCCTCTCTTTATTTTCCCTTCTTTTCTAATGTCTAGCCAACAAGCTTCCTAATAGGTGTATGCTATTAAGTATAATTTATACCTGCTTCTTTTATATCTAACACTTGTTTACTATTTGATACTTTACTGCTTGTAGTTAGGTTTGTAATCCATCATAGCCTGAGTAAATCAATGGAAACATATTACCAGGTTTTTGGCCTTTCCTCTGTGAACTTTTTCCTTCATAAATTCTCTCTTTTTTCTTTCTAACATAATTTGCTATAGGAAAGTGGCCGAGCTGGTAGAGATGGACTCCTGTCTGAGTGTTTGCTCTTTTTTAGGCCTGCTGATGTTCCTAGACAGGTAATGTTTTTTTTTTTTAATTGTCATGTTTGCTCTAGACATTGTATTGATTGTGGTCTTTATTTGAACAGAGTGCTATGGTCTTCCATGAAAACTCTGGATTGCAGAACCTTTATGACATAGTTCGATATTGTCAGGTATAATCATCTGTTTTGGATCTGTCATGTATGTATACATATGTTCTGAAGTGGGTCAATAGGGATGCTTGCTGTTTACACATTAGGGAGTTTGGAAGAATGAGTTTAATAATCATACATAATAGATCTGTTTTGCACTTTGTACCTTATTTGTTGCTTACTCATTAATTTTGGTGGAATTAATGGGTAAAATGGAAGGAATACCATGTTTAAGATAAAGAAGCACCCATGTGGCAATTTTTTCTCTCACAAGTGGGTTCAATGAATCCTACAAATCCTTATGCTTTATAGAGCATAGAACAATGATGTCAAAGAATAAAAGGAAAAAAAGTGCTTCATAGCTTTCCAGGCGAGTGTCTTTTGCTCCAGTCTAAGATGTTAGAAAAGCTATCTTCAGTTAGCTTAGCAATTTCCTATCACCTCCCCCCCGGGTGATTTTGAAAGTTAAAATGCCATTTTTAGTCTTGATTTTCATTATTATAAACCGTGCTACTGATTTCATTATTATAAACTCTGCTACTGATTTGTTTAGGTTATAACTTACAACCAAACATCTCTTTTTTTTCTTTTAATTCTTTTTTCCCTCTTCTAAAACATATTTTTATTGTTTAAAAACAGAGAAGTTGTTCTGTTATAGGTTTAAAAAACAGTCTGTTCTATCCCTGCATGAGGGTATTCCGTGTTTTCAAATGTACTGGGTGTTTTATTTATTTAATGAAATATGAGGTACTCTTTTCTTCATTCCAATGTTCGTTAACATACTTGTTAGTATGTGGACGAATACGAATGGAGTTTTTAATGAGACCTCCAATTTTTATAAAATAAAAAAAACAGAGAAGTTCTTTGTTATAGGTTTTAAAAAAAAGTCTGTTCTATCTGTTATTTAAACTTTGTCTTGTCATTCGTTTCATTATTATTTTTTCTTTTCTGTCTGTCTCCATCATGTGATGAGAGCAGTTAATTGGGAAGCGGATGAATTTGCCAAACTTGGGATTGGTTAATTGGAGGGGTTTTACTTGTGCTGTTGTTTTTGCTGTATTGGGATTAACTGGCAACTTTGGTCATTGTATTTGTTTGCATCTGGTTGTGTAATTTTGGAGTCAGTTTTTGTGTAGGGAAAAATCATATGCGTGTAGGTAGTGCTTTTTAGCACAATATTGAGTGGGCTGCCAAAGGTTTTTGGTGGTAATGTGTTCTTATTGTACTTGGTATTTATGCAATAAAACTTCTAAGGCACTCTTTTCCTCCTTCCAATGTCCGTTGAGTCTTTGTTGCCTGACGGATATGAGGGGGGTTTTTAATGAGGCCTTCCTTTTTATAAAAAAAAAATCTGTCTCTGGCATGAAAGTTTGTGTTTGTAGAAAGTAGATGATCGGTGAAAATGAAGTAAGTTTTATAATTTTATTCACCATTTTCTGATTCGAATAGGTCTGATTACAAAGCTTTATATAAGAGTTATTTACAAGAGTTCTAGCAAAACTAAACTATTTTAGCTTTATCCTTATCTACAAAGTAGGCTAGAATTAGTGTTAGACTAAAACACTAATATTTTGAAGATAAAACCTAATCTTTATCCTAAAGAATTATCACATAACTTACAGTGTTAGCCGCCTTGCATGTTTGAAAACTGTAATTAAACACTTGGAGAAGGTGGAAATTCAAATTTGTTGGATCCTATACTGATTTGTAAATGAAATAATAAATAGATGACTGTGCCAAGTAAATACAATGGAATATCCTTAATTTTACTGCAACAGCTGGCTTAATTACCTGTGTTTTATTTCGTAATAAATTAATGAATGAATTGTTATTAGACTTTAGCAATAACTTGATTTTTTTTTTATAAAAGTTGGAGGTCTCATTAAAAACTCCCTTCGTATTCTTCCACATACTAAGAAGTATGTTGAAGAACATTGGAAGGAAGAAAAGAGTGCCCCATAATTTATTAAATAAAACACCCAGTACATGTGAAAACACCGAATACCCTCATACGGGAATATACACCATTACAAAAACCATATCACCTAAAAATCTACCATCGTCAACCAAAAAGTCCCAAAGACAATAACCCGATTTCTAAAATACACCTCAAGCAAAAGGAAGAAAAACAACGCAAAAGAACATAACAGAACAGAAAACCAACACTTGCAACCATTAAAACTTGAATTTATAGAATGAACTATATTAAAATTTACCATCCTTGTTATTATTTATTATTATTTACACATTATATATATAAAAATTGCAGATCTTTATTTATATACATGTGTCTTATTTTTCTCGGGTGAGAGGTTTTCTAAAGCCTCGTGCTATATAGAGATCTTAGTGCTTTGAGTGTGCCTACTGCCCTTGACAACACTGGGTTAGAAGAGGGAAGACCTGGTTTAAGATGGAAAAGATACCAATATAACAATTTCTTTCACTCAAAATGGGTTTGGTAACTCCTACAAATGCTTATGCTTTTAGGGTTTAGAAGAATCAATGTTTTATTTCTATCATTGATTTCTCCGGCTGTTAGTTTCAGTGCCATTAGGTGTTCCACAGTTTTTGTTTAAGGATTGGTACTTTTTGCATTTCAATTTGATTGTGTTACTGTTAGTCTGCATGCGAAAGATCCTTTATTTCAAGAGAGCTGTTAAGTGTAACATTTTTCTTCTTATTGTAGTCTAAAAGACAATGTCGCCGAAGTGCCTTTTTCCGGCATTTTGCTGAGCCATTACAAGAGTGCAATGGTATTATGCGTTTACTTTGTATTATTTTTATCCCAATTTTAGTCAATATAATGATAATTCCATATTGTGTTAGGGATGTGTGACAACTGTGCATTCTCAAGTGAGATTAGGGAAGTGGATGCTTCGGGTATGTTTATTTGACTTGTATTTATCCAAGTTACTTTTTTTGTATTTAAAATTTATATTTTAAGTAATGTTCTCTTCACCTTTCTTTTCAACTCAATTATTTACAAGTCACTTTCTGCTGTTCTAGCTCAGCCATCTCGTTTTGGTTTTATCCTCTTCCTTTAATTACATTTTGTGGCTAAACTTTTCTGTGGCGTGAGATTTTTGTATTCCCTACACAACTAGTCAAAATTTTGTGTCTTGCCTGTATTATTTCGGGGTGAAAAGCAAATATATTTTATGGAAGAAAAATATCTCAACATCCATTATTCTCCAATAATATATGTCTGTAGACTTTTCAATGAAGTCCAGTTAAGTTTTTTTTTCTTATTTAGTTTTGTTATATAAGAGGATTGTCTTCATTTTAGTTTCTTGAACAGATTGTTGATTTCCTAGACTTTTCGGGTCCAGGAGTTGGCTACTGATCTTATTTTTTTAATTCCCTAATTAGCCAGCTACATGGTGATGTAGTTTAAAATGGAAGTCAGACTTTTCATTTGAGAAAAATTAAAGGAAATGAAACACATTCTCTTTACAGATGTCAATTATCATTTGATTTACCTCTAGGTACTTGGATTTTTCTCTTTCCTCCATGTTTCCCCCTTCCTCCCTTCTCTTATATTGTAGATATTAGGGTTTCTTAGAAAAAAAAGAAATAGACAAAGAATAGGGAGAACTGAAAAAAGAACCGGGGAAATCTCACCTAGGGTTTTATTTGCAATTACACCAAATACATTTTGGATACTTCCAAACGTTTGCAAATTGTGTTTTACAATATGTCAGAACAACATGTTGTATGTGATAAAATATATATATACTCGTATTTTTATGCAAGATAACTACATGATAAATGCTCAAGGTTGCATGTTGATTATCAGTCATAAATAGTCTCATGAGTCCATGTTAAAGCTTGCACACTGGAACCAGTTTTTATACTTTTTATACCCTTCCATCACTGTCATCACTAGAACTTTAATAGGGGTAGAAGTAGAGAGGTCGAAGAAGGAACAGTTTATTCAAGGTGAGAACAAGTGATTAACAATTTAAAATTCTAGACATAAGGGAGATCGTGTTTTTACTCTTGTTCCATTTTTCAATTTTTTTTAGAGAAAACCGAAAGTTTTACATATATTGAACTCATTTAAATTGTAAAATATTTGTTGTATTATTTATTTGGCATGGATTAATAAATAGTATTTTGCTTCATATGATCATTCTTTGCAGGTCATGCAAAACTTGTGATTTCTCTGCTGCAAGCTATGCAAGATGTAGATCAAAGAATGACAATGTTGCAGTTGGTGGACAGATTGAAAAATAAGCAAAGGCAACTAGGTTAATCCATCTTTTCTTGTACTACATCCAATAAGCGTGGTTAGGGTAAATCTATATGCCATTAGATGCCAATATATACTTGCATAGTTGCATTTCTATTTATAATTTCTGCCATGCGTTAAACTTGTTGCTTTCTATATTGTAAGGTATAAGAGAAGCAAAAGGATGAGTTTTGTATGTGTGTGAGGAGAGCATAACATTCAATGGGGTAAAATATAAGCATGAAATTATAACCATTAGAGGGTGGTAGGTAATGTATTCCCCTCTATCGGTGCATGAAAACATTGGCACTGCTTAAAATTATAACCTCTAGAGAGTGGTGGGCATGTATTGCTCTCTCTTGGTGCATGGAAATAATGGCAATCTTAAGAGACATATATCATGTATTACACGGTTAAGAAAAACTCAGAGCATGATTTGCGATTTGGTTATTCATAGAAGCATTTATGCCTCCCAAGAGTACCCTCAAAATTCATGAAGCTAAGAATATTGTATTAACATGTTCTTTGCCATTGAAACTTATACTTTTTGTCGGTAGTGTTTGGTATGTATATTCTCCATAATATTATCTCTAATGTCATATTCGACATGTGGTCTACATAAATCTGCTTCTCTATGTGAAATATTAAAGTCATATTTCTTTTATTCTCTCATATTCATTATCATTAAGTTAAAGTAAGTTCTTGGCAGTTCCCATTTATTGTATTGTAGCCACATAAACATATCTATTATTTTATATGTATTTACCAGATTTTGAACTAAAGAGGGAAGAGATGGAACAGCTCGTAGTACAGCTTATAATAAACCGTGTCTTGGTAAGAATCACTTAGTTTGTGGACCATGAATCTAGTGTGACTCATGATTATGCATCTAGTTGGCTACTGATCTTATTTTGTAATGTGTGTTGGTGGCTAAGATATTTTTGAAATTTTATACTTACAATTCTGCATGATATAAACTTTATTAGTTATTTGTCGAACATACTTCACTGCTGAAATTGCTCATTTCTGTCCGGAGTTAATGCTTGAGGCATGCTGAATTACATTAGGAAATCATGTGCTGTATGATTTAAATGTAAGCTACTGTACCTTCAAATGTGTGCAAAATGACTGACGTAAAATGTAGGTTAGGCAGTCATTATTTCAGTATCTTGAGTTTATCATGGCTAAAACACAAAGGTCTCTCAAGAGGGTATTAAAGGAATGATCACTTAAGTAGAATTAATATTGCACTTTATAATTGGAACTACTCGGGCACACACACACACACGTGTGCTTCACTTTTATTGCATTTCTAGTAATTATGAAGCGACATTTTCATGCTCAACTTATATGGGGCGAAAAAGGAATAGACAATAACGTATATTAAATATAAACATTGTTATTAGGAAGAAAACGTGCCAATCGTCACCATAATTAATAGTCATCGTCAGATAGTTTTCAATGTAGGGAATTTTGGGTGCTTCTATGGTTCTGAATGTCAAGACTTTGCTTTTAAATGCGATTTTATGATTTTGGTCTGTTTTTACTTCTGTTTGCTGCTTTCAATCATGCAGAAGGAAGAATTTCAACATACAGCTTATGCTACAAATGCTTATGTTAAAGTAGGGCCAACAGCAAACCTAGTCATGCAAGGTCTGAGTGCATCTCTTCTAGAATGCATGCTGTTCATTTTCTGCCTACAGTTTTACACTTGAATATAGCAGGCATTATATTCCATCCCGGACATGTGGTCTTTTGTCCATTTTGTGTAGATCTTATTCATTTGATTGAATACTATATATCTTTACAATTGAGCATGCAGGGAAAAAAATCATTAAGATGGAACTTGGTAGCATATTGAACGGTATGGATGATATGCGGAAATCCATTAAACATGGTGTCACATCGGGTTTGGAGTCTAAGCTAGATGAGCTGAGGAAGGAACTCGCATCTCACGATGAGGGAATATTCCCTCATTCCGTGTTGTCTGGCCAACAGATCAGCAGCATAAGTGCCAATCTACCAAAATCAATTGAAGAGGCAAGTCAGAAAATTTCTCAACTCTTTTCTTGCATACATCCTATGCTTACCAATTGGTAGAACAAACCTCGTTTTAAGCATCATGTTCCAATTCTGGTAACTTTGTGTGTGTTTGTTGTTTCTGGCAGTTAGAAAAGATTATTGGGAAGTTAAAGACAGAAAAGTATGGGGAGAGAATTCTTGAAGAAGTAAAAAAGTATGGTAATGCAGAGCATCCAAATAACGACGAGTCGAATAAAGAACAAAGCACTGAAGAAGAGGGACATCGTCACAGAGAGCATCCAAATAATAATGAGTTGAAGGAAGAAGAAAGCCCTGAAGAAGACGGACATACTAGAAAGAAGCTGAAGACCGACAAACAAGTTATTATGGTGGACAGCAGTAATGATGAAGCTGAAGCGTGAACACCCTTAAACTGCATCTATCCCTTGTCTACGCCCATATTTTCCCATGCATTTCAGGGCTTTTACCAATATGCTCCAACCTTTTTACTTGTTTTGGCTGATAGAAGGGAATAGATAACCTTTGCTAATTTCACTGATTATCTATTTCTTTAACCTAAAATTACATTTTTGTCCTCTCTTATATAAATTACAATTTTCATTTTCTACGAAACATATTTTTTCGATAGTTTCTAATTTATTTTGTTTCTAGTCAAATACATTGATAAAATAGATAACAATAAGGAAAAGAAATTCCGTTCGCATACAAATAACAGGTTTCAACATCATAATATCAAGGTTTAACGTAAAATTATCGTAAAAATAAATGTAAAATTATCGTAAAAGTAAATGTAAAATTATCGTAAAATTAAATGTTTAAATTATACGTAAAATTAACTTTAGGTATATTATTTTTCGTTAAAAATAAATGTATAATATTTTTTTTGTACTTTTAGGTATCTATCTTGTAAATGATATTAAAAAAATCGTTATGCGTTACGTATTATATTTATATATTTTTAAAATTTTATTTAAAAAACTTGGAAATATTATTAATTAAAAACCCTAAAATTTTCTAAAATTCTAAAAAAAAAACTTTGAAATCCTAAAATCCCTCGTTCCAACTCCATTACTGGCCATCATCGGTTGCCTCCATAATCATTGAACGGCCACCAAGCCGTCGTCGAACTTCCACTGTCAATAATTTTTCTTGTCGTCGTCTAAATCTCCCTAAATCTATAAATTTAAAAAAATTAAATTTCTAAATATATTACCCAAATCCCTAATCTTAATCTCAAATACCCATCGTGGATCGTGTCTTAAATTGTGAAATTATTGCTGTAATTTCAAAATTGAGGTGTGAATATTGGATTTCCTTTACGATCAAAAAATACGGTTCGAAGAGTCGCCACCAATATTTGATTAGGGTGTGATTGGGCACCCAAAAATATTTGCTATTTTAAATAAAAAAATTAATTTTAATTAAAACAACAAGTTAAGGTATGCGTTACCAAAATCGAGTTCGGGAATCGGTTACGTGTGGGGAAGGATTAGCACCCCCACAGCGCCCTAAATCAGTAGTTAGTCGATTAATTAATGTCTTTGCAATGAACTTTACAACTTCGAATTTAATTTGATTTTTGATCCCATAAAACGAAAATGTAAATTTAAAAAACATTTAGAAGCACTCAAATAAATTAAATTAAAATTACCGAGTCGTTTTATAAAGATAAAGAATGTTCGATTATTTACAAATATCGAGATCAGATCTTAAAAGTTATAACAACATTTTCTCGATAAATTTAAATAGCCGAATATTTCTTTTTCTTCCATTCCCAAATTTTAAAGTGATAAATCACTTTCTTAAGTGTCACTAATAGGATACACTTTTAATTTAAAATCGTTAGAAGCGGACCTCTAATCAGTTAAGACAGCCCACTTAAAACAAATTTAAATTAAAAGGGTACTACCCTTAATCCAATTATGTTGTATGGTCAAGTTGTGCACATGAGGCTAACATGCTTATAAAAAAAAATACACCATGCTAGAAATAATATATACATGTATACATATATCATAATCGTTCAAACACCTATTTAGTATACTTTCGAATCTAACTGTAATCTGATCCTACATGTATATGCACGAAAGAAAATCTTAAACATGGACTAAGGCAAAAAAAGACAGATTTAAGGTCAACATCACAAACTAAGTAAACTGAAAGATAACATGTGTGAAAATCTCAAACATCATGCACTACAAACGTAATAAAGCCAAAGGAATACCAAGTGTCGAAACGGTTTTTCCTTAGAGGTGAAAAAATGAGATTTTAAAAACCACATGAATTCTTAACTATCCTCTTTCAAATAATTTTTAATTTAAAAAACAAATGCGGTTTAAAAGACCTCTCGTTTCGAAAAATTTTGGATTTTCTTTACGATCGAAAAAATACGGTTCGAAGAGTCGCCACCAATCTTTGATTAGGGTGTGATTGGGCACCCAAAAACGTTTCGTCATTTTAAATAAAAATTAATTTTAATTAAAACAACAAATTGAGGTATGCGTTACCAAAATCCGAGTCCGGGAGTCGGTTACGTGTGGGGAAGGATTAGCACCCCCACAACGCCCTAAATTGGTACATAATCGATTAATTAACGTCTTTGCAATGAACTTTATAAATTCGAATTTGATCTAATTTTTGATCCCGTAAAACAACAAAAAAATGAATTTTATAATATTAAAAAATACTCAAAATAATTAAATTAAAATTACCAAGTCGTTTTAGAAAGATAAAGAATGTTCGATTATTTACAAATATCGAGACCAAATCTTAAAGATATAACAACCTTTTCTCGATATATTTAAATAAACGAACATTTCTTTTTCTCTCGTTCCCAAATTTTAGGTGACGAATCAATTTTTAGGTTTCACTTTCGGGATACACTTTTATTTTAAAATTATTAAAAGCGGACCTCAAATCAGTTATGACTGCCCACTTAAAATAATTTTAAATTAAAAGTGTATTACCCTTAATCCAATTATGTATTATGTCGAGTTATGCAAATGAGGTTACCATGCGAATAGTACAAAAAAGGATGTCATGCCAAAATTAATTAAACAAAATTAAAAATATCATACAACATGACAAAAAAATATATACATATATTTTGATTAAAAATTAAAAATTATGCATATTAACATGTAATGTACAAATGTGACTCAAATATAAAAACAAAAACATAACATGCTAAACTAAAAATTTAAAAAGTGTATATACATATTAAAACTAAGACTGAATTTAACTAAATGTAAAATTCGACATACAAAAAAAATAATTAAAAAAAAAAATAAAAACAGGGACCTAAATAAAAAATTCGCATAAATATAAAGTATTTAAACACAAATAACCCAAAAAAAAATTACAACTAACACAAAAATTAGGAAAACTACGAAATCAGGCCAACTACAAAATGGCAGAATTCGAAAGCAATCCTGAATGTGACTAAAGTGTAATAAAAGCTAAATATTGACTAAACACTACTCTAAAGTTAAAATGGCTAATACTAATTAACCCTAAAATATTAATATAAAACCTAACTAAAACTTAAACCTAAGCTAAATACACCTAAAATAACAATCAGCCGCTTATACCCATCTCCTTCTTCCCCTCTTCTATTCTTCATCGCTTCCATGGTCGAGAGCCCTTATTCAAACCTATTATCGCCACCGCATGGCCACCAGACCTTGGTGGTCACCTCTCCTCTGGCCACAAGACTCAAACAACCAAGGTAACAGAATCCCATCACTCTCCTTACTCCTTTTCTTTATTTTGTTTCGAATTTTTTTTTTGTTTCATAGAACTAATATCAACCCTTTTTATTAGACGATATAATCCCTAATCAAGATGAAATTGAATTTACGAGACTTTAACTGCCTTCACAACCCAGGTAAATCTCTAATTTCTCCCTATTTTCTATTTTGGTTTCGAAAGAAAGAAGAAGAAGAAAAAAACAGAAAACAAAATAAATGCTAGAAAGATTTAAGAATGAAAACAAAAACAAAACCTTTTCAAATGCCTTCTCTTTTGTGTATCACTTGATTTTGCCTTTGTTGTTGGGTTTTAATGGAAATGATGTATTGCCTTCATTTTCTGTTGTTGATGAACTCCTCTCGTTTGTTGTTTTCTTCACTTTTGCTTCAAAAATAAACACACGCACACCTAACACTACTAGGAGTCGAAAAGAATCTGAGGAACACCTCAAAATTAGTTTTCATTGCTTTCGAATAAGAACGGAAAAATCCCTGTTACACTAATTGATTCTTGAATACAGGGGAGAAAGAATTCCTTTACGCACACTGTTCTCTTTTTGTTTCTTCTATTGTTTTCAAAAACAAATTAAAATTTCTCTTCCCCCAATGGTCTCTCTGTTCCCAATTAATCCCCTTGTTGTCTCTCTTTTTTCTTTTTTTTTGTTCTGTCTCCCTTTTCCAGTAGTTAATCCCCCCTTCTCTGTATGATTTCTGATGGTTAATGCCTCCCAAAAACTGACCATTTACAGTTTTTTAATTCCCCACTATCTAATTATTCCAACTGCTAAAAACCAACCTGGATCTCTTTCTTTTTCTGCATCAAACTGTTGTCAATTGGTCTTGAGCTGGACCTTCATCCGGTTTGGGCTCATCTGGGCTCTCATTGCTTCGGGTCTGCTCCGACTTGGCCCCGGACAGAAACGAGCATCTACAGCTGCCCCTCTTTGCTCATTGTCGTGTAACGAGAATAGAACAAAGATCAAAAGATGATCGAATTTGTCCGGTCATGAGAACTTCAAAAGATTAAACCACTCAATATTACATCGGGATAAGCGAGACTTGAAAAATCTTCAAATGACGAGTATGTTCCCTATTCCTTCAGGAAGTATAAGACTCGAACAATCTTCATAAAATGTGTCTGCTCTCTATTCATTCAGAGAGTATAAGACTTGAACAATCTTCAACAAACGTGTCTGCTCCCTATTCGTTCAGGGAGTATAAGACTCGAATAATCTTCAACAAACGGGTCCGCTCCCTATTCCTTCAGAGAGTATAAGACTCGATCTTCAATAAACGTGTTCGCTCCCTATTCCTTCAGAGAGTATAGGACTCAATCTTCAACGAACTTGTCCGCTCCCTATTCCTTCAGAGAGTATAGGACTCAATCTTCAACGAATTTGTCCGCTCCCTATTCCTTCAGAGAGTATAGGACTCAATCTTCAACGAACTTGTCCGCCCCTTTCCTTCAGAGAGTATAGGACAATCTTCACGAACTTGTCCGCTCCTATTCCTTCAGAGAGTATAGGACTCAATCTTCAACGAACTTGTCCGCTCCCTATTCATTCAGAGAGTATAGGACTCAATCTTCAACGAACTTGTCCGCTCCCTATTCATTCAGAGTATAGACTCAATCTTCAACGACGAATTGCTTCACTACTCTCGTGAAGGCTTATAGATTTGCTTCAAAGGTCAAACCTGAAAATCAAACATTATTCATCATGAATGTATATTTGAAAAATATTATACTAAAAAATTTAGAA